AAGTGATTATTTTCTCTTTAATACAGATGATGCCAATGTATTTTTCGATGAGTCTGCTATGTTAGCAATAATAACATTACCTGCTTGACGGAAACGGTTGCCAGGTTTTCACAACAAAACCCGCCCAATCGCTTCTCAAAACTAGCACAAAACTAACCACGTTTGAGGGGGTCCCCCAGTAAAAATCGCATTCCGGGGGCTAAAATACACATTATTGGGGTCACTTCAACCCGCGGCAACAGTGATAAAGTAGCCCAATTCCATGGGAAAACCTCGGACTTGGCAACACTGTGACGGATAGTAATGTCTACAACGGACACAAGCGCTCACGGCGCGACCACAACAGCTTGACGTTGTCTAATTTGGCACGGTCTCCCTGCTGCACTAACAGTAGTAAGGCTTTCCTCTGTGTATCCTTACAAGTACAATTTTAGCTGGATTATGTGTGTCCCCTTCAAAAATTGCTCTTGAGAAATGTTTTGTTTAATTGCCCCCCCCCCAACTGTTAGACGAAATGTACACCCCTGTACACAACTGTGGTACAAAGTACAAATCTCCTCTCCCGTATCAGACAACAGCTCTGAAAACTGAGACAAGATCTGCTTTTCTGACTTCTGCAGTTGATTGTAGGGTCAGCCTCACTCTTCCTTTTTACCATTTAAAAAGAAAAATAATCCATCAAAAATGCATCTCAGGTCGTTTTTTCTCATTCTTCTCGAGTCAGTTTATTCGTGACTGAAATGAGAGATTCATATCATATGCTTTCATGTTACTAAGAAGCCTTAGCAGAAGTGAACATGAACTGAGTTATAATCTACAAACGTTATTAAACATCTGCTCATAATTCTGAACCTGAAAAAATGAACATGTAAACAATAAAATAATATCACTACATGTTTATTTCCTTCACGTGAAACACTTCCCCAGAGAAACCAAATAATTTGATAAAGACAGACATCTGGAAAATGTTTGTGCTCATATTTCACCATGTGCATTCATCACAAACATCATCAGATTAAAGCTGGTAAAGTCGGTCTGTTCTGTTGGACAGATTCTTGAAAACCTCAGTATGTCTGAACTTGGGTTCCTGTCACATTTTGCCATCGACCCACGATGCTGTGTTTGACTTCTAAAGATATATTTGACCAATCTGTTTGGACCCAGATTGTCTTTATTTCCTGATTGATATTCTCGTGAATTTACAGCAGAGTAATAAAAACAGCGGTCTTTGGATTGGTTCCAGGAATGGGATTTTAGAACAGAAACAGAATGTAGTAAAGCTGGATCTACACGATTCCTCACTCAACAACAGCTATGACATACAAACAAACTAGAGCAGGCTTACTGTTCGTGTGACATTTAATAGTTTTATCGTTGTCTTGAATCAAGCCAGGAATGTGTTTACTTTCACTCTATTGACAAAATCATTTTAAGCAGCTGCCGTGAAACATAAACCGTCTTTGTTCAAGCAACTGCTTGAGAGCAGCATCCAGACCCAGAGATAAACAGAAATGTGTTAAACTCCAAATATGCCATAATGCAAATGCAGAGGCACAAAAATGTGATATTTTGGGTGTCGAGGTGTCAGTGTGAATTCAAGTGTCAGTATGCATTATGTGAACTGAATGTGGGCAGTGCATGGTTTTACTACAGTAAACTACACTACAGTAACTATAGTAATTTAAAATAGTGGATTGTGATTACTACACTGTTTACTAAAAGAATGAATACAAACTGCGTTGCAGAAACAGTACCTTGATGTGCTTACATGAGCAATTGGATCTGGTTGGAGTAATGTAAAGGAGCCCTCTAGTGGGCAGACTGATGAAAAACGGATATTAAAATGTGTTTATTAGTCTGTTTGAAAGCAGGATTGGCTGTTTTAGGCAATTGACTGAGCTACTACTAATTTTAATGACACTTAAGCGTACTGTTATAAAAAAAGTTTTTGTTTTTATGTAGCCGCTCAATGATTGAATTTAGTTAATTCTTAACCAAAACATTTGCTATACTGCATCTTAGAATAACACACTACAATTTATAAATATTTTAAATAACCTTAAATCATATGAAACATTTGGATGATTGACACCAAAGACGAGAAGAGATTCTGGTTCATAGAGCAGGTGATCACACTTAAGGTTTCATCAAGAAGCAGCTGCACATTTGTTGACTTTGTGATTTTATGGATAGATAATCTTAAAGGGTTAGTTCACCCAACCCAAACTAACCGTGTTTCGAGGGGTGTACCCCGGTAAAAATCACGTTCCGGGGGCTAAAATACACATTATTGGGGTCACTTCAACCCGCGGCAACAGTGATAAAGTAGCCCAATTCCATGGGAAAACCTCGGACTTGGCAACACTGTGACGGATAGTAATGTCTACAACGGACACAAGCGCTCACGGCGCGACCACAACAGCTTGACGTTGTCTAATTTGGCACGGTCTCCCTGCTGCACTAACAGTAGTAAGGCTTTCCTCTGTGTATCCTTACAAGTACAATTTTAGCTGGATTATGTGTGTCCCCTTCAAAAATTGCTCTTGAGAAATGTTTTGTTTAATTGCCCCCCCCCCAACTGTTAGACGAAATGTACACCCCTGTACACAACTGTGGTACAAAGTACAAATCTCCTCTCCCGTATCAGACAACAGCTCTGAAAACTGAGACAAGATCTGCTTTTCTGACTTCTGCAGTTGATTGTAGGGTCAGCCTCACTCTTCCTTTTTACCATTTAAAAAGAAAAATAATCCATCAAAAATGCATCTCAGGTCGTTTTTTCTCATTCTTCTCGAGTCAGTTTATTCGTGACTGAAATGAGAGATTCATATCATATGCTTTCATGTTACTAAGAAGCCTTAGCAGAAGTGAACATGAACTGAGTTATAATCTACAAACGTTATTAAACATCTGCTCATAATTCTGAACCTGAAAAAATGAACATGTACACAATAAAATAATATCACTACATGTTTATTTCCTTCACGTGAAACACTTCCCCAGAGAAACCAAATAATTTGATAAAGACAGACATCTGGAAAATGTTTGTGCTCATATTTCACCATGTGCATTCATCACAAACATCATCAGATTAAAGCTGGTAAAGTCGGTCTGTTCTGTTGGACAGATTCTTGAAAACCTCAGTATGTCTGAACTTGGGTTCCTGTCACATTTTGCCATCGACCCACGATGCTGTGTTTGACTTCTAAAGATATATTTGACCAATCTGTTTGGACCCAGATTGTCTTTATTTCCTGATTGATATTCTCGTGAATTTACAGCAGAGTAATAAAAACAGCGGTCTTTGGATTGGTTCCAGGAATGGGATTTTAGAACAGAAACAGAATGTAGTAAAGCTGGATCTACACGATTCCTCACTCAACAACAGCTATGACATACAAACAAACTAGAGCAGGCTTACTGTTCGTGTGACATTTAATAGTTTTATCGTTGTCTTGAATCAAGCCAGGAATGTGTTTACTTTCACTCTATTGACAAAATCATTTTAAGCAGCTGCCGTGAAACATAAACCGTCTTTGTTCAAGCAACTGCTTGAGAGCAGCATCCAGACCCAGAGATAAACAGAAATGTGTTAAACTCCAAATATGCCATAATGCAAATGCAGAGGCACAAAAATGTGATATTTTGGGTGTCGAGGTGTCAGTGTGAATTCAAGTGTCAGTATGCATTATGTGAACTGAATGTGGGCAGTGCATGGTTTTACTACAGTAAACTACACTACAGTAACTATAGTAATTTAAAATAGTGGATTGTGATTACTACACTGTTTACTAAAAGAATGAATACAAACTGCGTTGCAGAAACAGTACCTTGATGTGCTTACATGAGCAATTGGATCTGGTTGGAGTAATGTAAAGGAGCCCTCTAGTGGGCAGACTGATGAAAAACGGATATTAAAATGTGTTTATTAGTCTGTTTGAAAGCAGGATTGGCTGTTTTAGGCAATTGACTGAGCTACTACTAATTTTAATGACACTTAAGCGTACTGTTATAAAAAAAGTTTTTGTTTTTATGTAGCCGCTCAATGATTGAATTTAGTTAATTCTTAACCAAAACATTTGCTATACTGCATCTTAGAATAACACACTACAATTTATAAATATTTTAAATAACCTTAAATCATATGAAACATTTGGATGATTGACACCAAAGACGAGAAGAGATTCTGGTTCATAGAGCAGGTGATCACACTTAAGGTTTCATCAAGAAGCAGCTGCACATTTGTTGACTTTGTGATTTTATGGATAGATAATCTTAAAGGGTTAGTTCACCCAAAAATGAAAATTAGCCCACAAATTACTCACCCCCGAGGCATCCTAGGTGTATATTACTTTCTTCTTTCAGACGAATCCAGTCGGAGTTATATTAAAAATGGTCTTTGATCTTTCAAGCTGTTTAATGGCACTCAGCGGGTGTTGCATTGCTTCAGTCCAAAAGAACTTAAATAAAAAGCGCCCATCCATAAAAAAAGTGTCTCACACGGCTCCGGGGGGTGAACAAAGGCCTTCTGAAGCGAATCGATGCATTTTTGTAAGAAAAATATCCATATTCAAAACGTAATAATCACTTTAATCTAGCTTGCACTCACTGTTGTACACAGAAGCAGCTCCGGGAGCATGACGTATGAGTTCAGCTGCGCATGCGCGGCTCAGAAGTGACGAACACGGAAGCGCAGCGGAGAGATCAAAACAAAACAACGGTCACTGATTAGAAGTACAAAACGAGGATTTGTAAAGAAGAATGTCGGAGGATTTCGATATAAGCCAAGAGGAGACTGGTTTTCCTTTGCTAAAGTAAGGAAACGTCTCAGGTTACTTATGTAACCACGGTTCCCTGAGTAGTGAACGAGACACTGCGTCCTCTAGGGGTTGCTATGAGGCGTTCCCCATAGCGACACCTAGAGGACGCAGTTCAAAGTTCCCATGAAAGGGAACTTTGCTTCCTTTGATCCTGTAAACAAACGTTTGTTTCTGATTAGAAGTACAAAACGAGGATTTGTAAAGAAGAATGTCGGAGGATTTCGATATAAGCCAAGAGGAGACTGGTTTTCCTTTGCTAAAGTAAGGAAACGTCTCAGGTTACTTATGTAACCACGGTTCCCTGAGTAGTGAACGAGACACTGCGTCCTCTAGGGGTTGCTATGAGGCGTTCCCCATAGCGACACCTAGAGGACGCAGTTCAAAGTTCCCATGAAAGGGAACTTTGCTTCCTTTGATCCTGTAAACAAACGTTGGTTTTCACGAGACTCACTGGTGCATGCGCAAAACTGAACTCATACGCCATTCCCCCGGAACTGCTTCCCTTTACAACAGTGAGTGCAAGCTACATTAAAGTGATTATTAGCAGGTCAGATCGTGTGCAGACAGCAGAATTGAGACGAGTAAGAAGGGAAGTGCAGTGAGAAGAGATTCCTCCACAGAGCTCTGAATGAGAAGCCCGGATCCATGCGACATGAACTGAGATCAGTGCTGTGAGCATCAGCACCACCTTTATATGCCATCAAACATGCAGATGTGTCTTTGCGCCTGTCAGACGTTGTATCTGTCCAACCATCATCATCATATTCAAAGCCAAAATCTCAATCAGGATCATAACAGAACATTAAGTCAGTCTCTTCTCTGGAGCGTTTGCTGTGCTTCAGTCCCACTTACACTTACACAATAAAAGCTTCATACTTGTGGAGTTTCTGTGACGTAATGTTTAATGTAAATAATTATTAATGATGTAGTGTCCAAACAATATTTAATCTTAATATCATAATTATAGGCCACTGAACACAGTGAGCACTGCTCTTCACTTGAAGGTCGTCTCTGCTCCAGCAGATTACTGTCAGCACTGCTGTTTATATTCAACTCTGTTGTGTTTCTCTGTCTGAACTCACGTTTGATCTGCTTTCATCCAGATCAATTGCAACACATTTTTGCAAAAGTTTTGTCATTTACAACCTGAAAAAAAATTAAAAAAAAATAAATCAGGAAAAAAACAAAAAAAAAAAAACAAAGGAAAAGCTACTGGTAATGTTCTGCCAGGACTTTATCTGCTTAGTTTCTGAACATTTCCTTTAACCCTAAAACGCAACACAATGCAATGCTTAATTCAGAATACAGGTACAAAGCCTGTGAAAACTCCTTCATATTACAGTAACACAGTACATTAGGCCATGCTTTTAAGGACGATTCTTGGAGTTTAAGATGAGTTGTACTTGTTTCCTCGCTGGGGTAGAGAGGAGCGGGCCTGATGAATGGTCTCCTTCAGTCTGCGTGAGGCCAGTAGTACTGTATCTCTCCACATCTCTGGCCTCATTCCTCCGCAGCCTGTGCTTCAGGGCTGATGCTGGCAGTTATCAGACGGAGCGCTGCAGCACATCCCGTGTTAAACAGAGAAACAGGGGCACATTCTGCCCAATGCATGGACCAGTGATCATCACTTCCACTCTAATGATGTCAGAGCAATGAAACAAAAACACTCTTGAAACTGACACAAAATGTTCACCATGATGGATGAATACATAATGACTCAATAGACGCGAGTACTTTTTGTAATGTGCCCTTTGATCTTATCTGATAGTCTGTTATTGATAACCTTCTTCAAAACAAACATGCTATTTCACATAACATATGTGTCCCTGCAGCACAAAAGCAGTGTTAAGTCGCTGGGGTATATTTGTAGCAATAGCCAACAATACATTGTATGGGTCAAAATGATCGATTTTTCTTTTATGCCAAAAATCATTAGGATATTAAGTAAAGATCATGTTCCATGAAGATATTTAGTAAATTTCCTACCGTAAATATATCAAAACTTAATTTTTGATTAGTAATATGCATTGCTAAGAACTTCATTTGAACAACTTTAAAGATGATTTTCTCAATATTTAGATTTTTTTGCACCCTCAGATTCCAGATTTTCAAATAGTTGTATCTCGGCCAAATATTGTTCTATCCTAACAAACCACACATCAATGGAAAGCGCATTTATTCAGCTTTCAGATGATGTAAAAATGACTGGTTTTGTGCTCCAGGGTCACATATGTCTGTTTTGAAACTCTTAACTTTTTAAAAAGTGTTTTGAGGACACACACTTACCTATAGGAACTAAATTACAAGAAACATCTTCACCTTGTTGTTTTTTAACGGATTAAAGGACTTTTACATGGCAGTGTGGACAGAGTCATAACAGGGTTTTATTGAACATTATTTGAATGACATTTAAGATTTATCATGATTATGATGTCAGTCATTTGAGTCATTGAAAATGCTGCACGTGTGCATAAGCATCACCAAACATTCACTTTGCTCTCCAGATGGCCTGTGCTTTCGGGGATGCTGGAGCCTCGGCAGGGAAACACTCTCACCTGCAGACGGCACGGGTCTCCTGCGTGTGTCCTCCAGTAAACAGCTTGGAAAGGTGTGAGTTGTGAAAATGGAAAAATAGGACCTTTATACAGTGCATGTCGGAGTAAAGACTTTGAGTAAGTCCCTCACAGTCCTGTTTTTTATCCGTTAAAAATTGTTTCATGTGCCCAATCAATTAAAATGATTCAATTATGATATATTTAATCCAACGTAGTCTGCAGTAGTGTTTAAAATATTTTATTACAACCCAAACCAGATGAAATGTACCATTATAGATACCAAAATAAACTTGTATTGGAGACTTTAAATGTAACGAATGTCGTTTCTTTCTGTTAAATATAGTGCTGAAGACATTTTGACTCCTGTAGAAAGGTGCACTAGCCTTAAATGTAGTCCCATGATCAAACAAATACAATAAAATAATTATTTGTCATCAAGGATTGATTTCAACTGGATATGTGATAATCATATTCTGAAGACAGCAGTATTCTCAGATATTAATAATGATGTTTTTATTATTTAGGGGTTTGGAAAAAAAAAACTCCCATGCTTTCTTTTTTTTCTTCACTGCTCCATCACACCCGAGGATGATGGAAGCAAACAGCAGGTTCCACCTTCACTCGCCCGCTGCTCTCTCAGGAACAGGTTGAGATGCACCCTCCTGGAAATCACAGTAAGCCGTCCCGAACCAGACCAGGCCAGGACAATCACACACCGTTTGGATCATGATCGCTTTAACTCGTCCATTCCACTGCTCTCCAATCAGCACATGAGATTCATGAGGTATACAGCCACACAGCTTTCATAAATAAAACTCATATGAACTCATACAGTAGAGTTTGCATATCTCAGGTAGAAAAGTTTTAAAATCAAGACGATTGATTTGAATTCATATGCATGATGTACTTAAAATGAGGGTAAGACAACAAACAGGGAGACAATATTGCTAATGTAAGCTCGTGACCACAATGCTTTTGTACGTCTATTGCACACACACACACACACACACACACACGCACATACACACACACACACACACACACACACACACACACACACACACACACACACACACACATCTGGTTTGCTATCCTTGTGGGGACTCTCCATAGGGCATAATGTTTTTTATACTGTACAGACTGTATATTCTATTGCCCTACACCTAAACCTATCCCTCACAGGAAACTTTCTGCATTTTTATATTTTCAAAAAATATGATAAAAAAAAATGTTTTTTAAGCCGTTTGAATTACAGGGACACAGGTAGTGTCCTCATAAACCTCATTCATATTGTAATACCTGTGTCATACCCATGTCATTATACAAATGTGTCCTCATAAACCACCCAAACCAGTACACACACACACACACACACACGTTTGTATATGTGGTTTACGGGGCTTCTCCATAGGCCTAATGTTTTTTTCTACTGTACGAACTGTATTTTCTATCCAGTTTCACTAACCCTACCCCACCTACCCCTTACAGAGAACTACAGGCATTTTTAGATACAATTTTTTTTTACATTAATTAACATTTTGTATGTTTTTTAAGTCATTTGGTTTACAAGGACACAGAAAGTATAAACCTAATAAACCATATATACCAGAATTCATGCCACACACACACACGCACACACACACACACACACACACACACACACACACGCACGCTC